CTTTCCCTTTCTCCGATTACTCCCTTTCTTGTGCAAAATCATTGACCAGAGCGCCTGAATCAATGGCTTCTTGTGGTTCCAAGGCTTCGTGCGGCTGAGCCTTTCCATGGGGGTAAGGCGCCACTTGCTTTCTCCCTTGGTTTTCAAATCAGAGCTTACAAAGGAAAACTGAGAACAGAGGAAGTTGTTTGTCCACTGGGTATTTCTCCTACACTTATGGATTTCCTATGGTCCTTGCTGTGATTTTGGGTTGACCACATGGGAGCTCTGGTATGGGTGGAGCTCGATGTTTGGATTTTCTAAGAGACGCTGGGCTGGGCTTCGAGTACAGTTTTGAGGTTATTGGTGTTTTCCCTTCCAGCGGCCCGCACGCTTTCGTCCAGCTGCTGGAAGTGGTTTTGCTCGTTCTTGGGCATTCTAACTATCATGGACTTCCCTAAATGCTACAGCAGCCTATGGGATGTTCTCCTAAGGCTTTGGACCCCATTCTTCTCTCTCTCATGCTAACCCATGTATTTGGGCCCGAGGAATGGGCCTGAGTTTTAGTACTCCTAAGTAGCCTAAAGCTTCCATCCCTCGTTCCCTCAATGGGCCCTGTGAGTGCCCGTACCCATCCATGCCACAACCTTCTCAGCAAGCCCCGGGTGATTACGTGGCTTGGGCCCACTTGAGCTTGTAGCATGGCGTGATGGCATCGCATGTTTATTCGTTGTGCTTGTGCTTGAGTTTAATTATGCTATAATAAGCCGAGCTCGAATTAAATAACACCGGATAGGTTCATGAGCGTGAACTTATATAGCCGTTGCGTTTTTGGCATGCTTGCTTGGCGTGATGTGTGACCCGTGGCTCGTGTAGGTGTCCTACAATTCCCTATTATGCCCCGGTCGAGTTTCTTTTGTAATTAATTATTTGCACCGGGCTGACAATAAGCTTGGGCCTAACCCCTGGATTTTTGGGCCTCAACACCAGGTATGCATTTCTATCTTCTCGACATGATCTAGCTGCTGGTTGTGTTAATTAGGAGAAATTTCTGCGTTTTGGTAGTTAAATAAGTGATTGAAAATCTGCCAGTTTTCGGCCTCCGATCCGGCCACTTCCGGCTATTTTTCGAGGTAGGTCCAATAACAAAAGTGACTCCAAATGAGGTTTTACACCTAGGGTAGGAAGGTTGGCCGACAGTTTGGAGTTTTTAGGCCCGCGGGGCCCACGACTTTGGTTTTACGATCCGAACGTTCCTATGGGTTCCACAAGGTTTAGGAAATACGTCCTACAAGTTTGGTTCAGATCGGCCAGTCGGTTCGCTCGCGATCGCACGATCGAACGGTTATCGTAAACTACAAACTTTAAGTTATTGAATCGGAACATCCGGAGCTCCGATTCGCGATATGTTGAATCCTACACGATCCTAGGAATGCCAAGAACAATATATATTAAATTGAAAGCGATCCAAAGGTTCTAACGTATAGAACCTGGAAATCGCACAATATGCGAGATTCGTTCAGGGTTCAAACGTTGTCCAAATCAAAATCCGTAAGTTCCTACGCGCTCGTGAGGACACATGGAACATTCTCGGACAGAGAGTGGCCCCACTACCCTGCCCACGCGCTGGCAGCACATGGGTGTTTATATAAAATTTCGGAGGCCGGAAAAACTCCAAACCGCAGGCCAACCTTCCTACCCTAGGTGTAAAACCTCATTTGGAGTCACTTTTGTTCCTGGACCTACCTCGAAAAATGGCCGGATCGGAGGCCCAAAACTGGCAGATTTTCAATCGCTTATTTAACTACCAAAACGTAGAAATTTCTCCAGATTAAGACAACCAGTAGCTAGATCATGTCGAGAGGATAGAAAAGCATACCTGGATCACAAAATTTGACATTCGGAAACACCCGAACGAGCTTCCCAAAAATCTGTCCAAAACTGTCCAAAACAGCCCGGATTTCTTCAATTTCCGGCCAGCCTCGGTGGTTCCAGCGGCTGAGGTTGGTCGGGATGGGAAGAGGGAGGTGGCCCGGTCAATTTGGGACCGGTCCCGGCCTAGGTGGTGGCCGGACGTGACGGCGCTGGCTCAAAATCCGTTCGGATGAACAGTGCCGGTGGGGGGGAGGGGGG